TCTCTCTCTCTCTCTCTCTCTCTCTCTCTCTCTCTCTCTCTCTCTCTCTCTCTCTCTCTCTCTCTCTCTCTGGCGCGCGCGCGCGCGCGCGCGCGCCGTTGCCCCTTTCTTCCTTCTCCTTTGGCTCCCATCCGCCTGGCCGATCCCATCTTTCAACGCCGATCCCAACTTTCAACTTGCGCCCTCCATCCCCCCTCCCGATCCTCTTCTCTCCGTGTACTGTTTGATTGTCGCCTCTCTTTTCCCCTCTTTCTCCACGCCTTTCTCTTCTCCGTTGGGATCCTTTTGGAGCTCCTCTCTCCAATACTCGATGTGACCCCTGTGGATCTCCTATGCCCCTTCCTCTCTTTCGTCTGTGGCTCTTTCTCTCTTCATTACTATCTCCATCACCTGCATATTCACATCAACCCTATCCCTCTCGTGACTGAGGCCCCTCCGTCATTATCATTCTCTCACCTTTTCTTACCTGTTCCCTCCCCTCCGCTCTGATATCCTCGCACACTGCCTTGCAATCCCTTCTTCCCCCCCCACCTTCTCCGGACCCCCCTACACGGTTGCATTCCTCATCTTGTTGCCTTGGCCTCCTTTCCCCTGCACTTCATCGGTCCCTACATCCTCACCTTGATTGACTGGCAATCCGACCTCCTCCTCCTCCTCCTCCTCTCGATCCCACATCCCAATCGGGCCCGTCCCAATCCGCGATGCCCATCCCCTTCTTCAGAAATTCGGGTCCCCAACCTGCATCTTCCTCCCGTTTACTTTAGGACCCTTCTCTCCTCGACGTCTTCCTGCTCCCCAACCCCCTTAACGCCGGCAAACTGACCCTGCATACTTCACCCTATCGCGGCGACTCTCCTTCGGCTTCCGCTGCCATCAGATCACCTGACCGACCAAATCCCGACGCTCTGGTCCTCCTGATCCCGCATCCTCACACTCCTACTTCGTCTTCTCCTACTACTACAGCGTCTCAGGATTTCAAAGGCGACCTTCTCCTCCCAAGATGGGCTCTTGCCGTCCCCCTCCTGTTCTTTCTCCCCCTGCCTCTCGGCATGCACGGCACGATCCCCACCTACTGCTTCCGATAGCGGCCGTGCAAAAATCCAGTCCCGCTTGCAACGTGGCACCTCCACACACTATCGACTTGGAGGCCTGAACGTGGATGGAGGGAGGAGAGGAGGGATGTAGGGAGGGAGGGAGGGACAGAGAGAGAACGGGTGCACTTCGCATACGCCGGGGGAACCCACCTATTTGGTTTTGGGGCCGAGTGTGAACGGAATCCTCCACTTCTTCGCGCACAACACCACTAAGAGAGAGAGAGAGGGAGGGAGGGAGGGAGGGAGGGCGACAGGCTCCACT